CTCTCTCTCTCTCTCTCTCTCTCTCTCTCTCTGCATCTTTGTATGCAGTGAGTTTTAAACTGGAATAAAAATTAATATTCTAGTGAATGATAGGCTCTGATTCCTCCCTTGAAACATGGATGTAACCGACTTTTATTTACACTGGGAAAGCCAATACAATTTCTTTGGGTTACTATTTTCATATGTGCATAAGGTGCACTTACAAGCATTGTTAGGTGTTCAATAACACATATTTCTCTGTCAGTGTCTTGACTGGCAGGGAGGAAAAATTTAAGGTTATAACTTTATTCCCCAATTTCATTTTACAGAGGTTTAATGGAGTTATTTAATGGCTTTAAATACTTAATGATTTTTAATTATACCTCATTTTCTGTGCACAGGAATCCACTCTTGGAACTGGGATTTCTATTTTTAAGGAATGGCGTTGGGTGTGGTGGCACATGCATTCAATCCCAGCACTGCAGCAGCCAAGACAGGCAGATCTCTATGAGTTTTAAGCCAGCCAGAGCTACATAGTGAGAACTGGCCTCCAAACACATACACAAAAAAGGCAAAGTGAGAACTGGCCTCAACACACACACACACACACAGAAGGCAAGCTCTCATCTAACGCAGGCTAGCCTAGAATGGAGTATGCAGCTAAATATGATCTTGAACTCTTGCTCCTGCTGTCTCCATCTCCCATGTTCTGGGATCACCAGAATGCCGCTGTGAGGAACCAGAAAACAGGTCTAAAGCTGACAGAAGAGGAAGTAAGTTCCTCAGGACCAGACTGTGCTCCAGAAGCAGTCACATCATCTAATGGACTAGCCAAGCATGGAAACCATCACCACCTTCCTGGCTTCTTAGAGAATGGCTTGGTCACTATGCTTTCTACCGGGTAGTTCTTAGTGCGCACGGCATATCCAGGACCTAACTAGTTAAGTCTCTACTGGTTAAGGACTGGGGGCTCACAGGAGCCACAGGGCCATGGTTCAGAGAGACAACCAGGGAATGAATGACATATTTTCGATAAAGGATATAAAAAATTGGAACTGGAGGGAAAATCTGCTATGTGACTTGTATCCTTTCATCTCATATGGATTTTACTGAGAAACTTGACATTTATTCTGTCTGCATTTAAAAAGATAGCAGTTATTCCTCCATATGTATCAGTTTGTCTTTTAACAGTTAACAGTGAAATACCACAGTGGGTCATATTTATGCCATCTATAAAAATGTCCATAAGATTACATCAGAAAGTGCAGGGAGCTAGTGTGGTGGGGCACACCTGAAAAACCAGCACTGGGGAGGCAGGGAGTAGGGAGATGTCAAAGCCATCCTAGACTACATAGTAAGAACATGTCTCTGGAAACAAGTACAAACAAGCAAAATGCAAGAAACGTTTATTCTACTACTTGTAGGAGCTCTTCTAGAGAAATTTACTTTTGCTTTGGCTACATGCAGTAGCTATCAGAATTTATCTAGGCCAAACTATAGCTCTAAGTGATTAAACTATGGCTCTAAGTAATTAAAACCAGGTATGGTGGTGCACACCTTTAATCCCAGCATTTGAGGAGCATAGGCAGGTGGATCCCTGTGAGTTCAAGGCCAGCAATGGTCTACAGAGTGAGTTCCAGGGCAGCCAAGGCTACACTGAGCAACTCAAAATAAATAAATAAATAAATAAATAAATAAATAAATAAATGAAGAAATAAATAAATAAATAAATAAATAAAGAAATGAAAATAAAACCTCTTGATATCTATACAACATGTACTTGTAAATTAACGCCTTAAAGCTCCAACAGTTCAGTGGTGAACAGACCTTAAAAGCTAGGCCAACTTCGCGACTATACTGATTGTTCTAGGCCAATGTGTTTCCAAGGTATCATAGTCACTGTGGCTGATATAACTCTATGATGTATTACTAAGGAGAGTTTATAGTCAGTACAACTGTGACATCTTTCAAACCTTCATTTTAGGAATATGCATGATCGTTTCATTAGGATCAAGAGTCTCTTTAGGTAAGAATTACAAAAACTCTTTCTGTTTACCTTAAAATAGGTAACTGTATAAGGATGTAAGCATTGCTTTTAAAGTTCATTTTGGAATAAATTGGTTGTCTTACAGTCTTGTAATGTAATGGTTCCTCACGTTTCTCTTTCTATGTGTGTGCGGCATGCACTTCTATGCAAAGAGGCCAGAGAAGACAGCAGTGGCTTTCTCAGTTGCCTTCACCTTAGTCTCTTGAGGAAGGGTCACCCATTGAGCCTGGAGCTTAATAGGTTTTTGTTTATTTGTTCTTGTTGTTCTCCTTTTCCGGGGGGTACTGGAAGGGTGGGGGGCTAAACTGGCTGGCCACACAAGCCCTATCAATCCTGCTTCTGCCCATGCCCGCTCCCAGGATCACAGGTGCACAAGACCATGCCTCGCTATTTACTTGAGTGCTAGAGAGCTCAGGTTTTAATGCTTGTGAAGTGAGTGTTCTTAGCCAACAAGCAATGTGCATAAGCCCACATAATGGTTACTCTTGAACAAGAGATTATTTCATCTCAGTAATGAAACTTTTGTAAAGTATACAGACAGGTTTGTCATGGTTCAAATACTGCTTTCTCTCTGAAATACTTTGAGTCAAAGATTAGGGCTTTCTCTCCTGCTTCTGAGAATGTCCTTTGGTGCATTGAATGCCTTTGTCTTGGTTTTGCTTTCCTCCTTGTTTTTACAGGGACACTTAGCCTGATTATCACATTGGGCAAAACAGGAATTACCAACATCTTTGAGAACAAACAAGTCTATCCTTTCACGTTTTTGTTTTGCCTCACCTTAAATATTACATATTACAGCCTGAATAATCTCAGAATAAAGTGAAAAAGCAAATATTTTACTCAAATGACCAGAGTAATTATTTTTTACTTCTGTTCAAAACATAAGATTGTATAATTTCAAAACATCCATTTGAAATTATTTTAAAACTTTTCAATAATTTTTGTTCAACTTCTATTTCTATAGCCTCTAATCAAAAATAAAGATTAATTCATTCTTAATTAGAGGAATCTTTCCTCTTAATTCTACAAGGATGTTTCCTCTGCTCTACAACAAAACGCAAAGTTGCCCTGGATTTGCCACAGCAAGAATATATAATTCATAATTAAACCAAACTAAGACAGCCATGGACCCATTGATGTTCTTCAGTGGGTGATTCCCATATGCACAGCCTAACACAGAAGACTTAACACCCAACACATCCCATGTTACAGAAAACAGTATGAATTTGAAAGGATCTATGTGGGAGGAGGAAGTAAGAGAAGGACAAGGCTACAATCATTTCCACATGAGTATAGATAGGATGCTATTTGCAGAATGCCTACTCCTCCTGGACCAGAAGCCTCTTTACAGTAATCATCCAATAAACTACAATGGATTAACATTAAAGGTCTGTTGCAAAGAAAGCAGATTCACGGTGAAGGTTGTCCTTTAACATGCAGGTTCCATCAAGGGCACCAAAAAAGTAGTTAAGTGCCCACCCCTGTGGTGTCTCAGATGCTGAAAAGCCCTACAAACTGCTAATCTTCTAGCTCTTAATGTTTGTCTAAGACCCTTAACATTTTTCTAATATTGTTGCTCCTAGGACATTTTCTTAAGTTTGGTCTCTATTGCCCCCTCTGCACATATACATTCTGCATTTATATATAAAAGCCTGTCAGTCAGCTGAATTGATTCAGAAAGGTAATATTGGAACAAAGTAAAAAGGGGAGGAAAAAAATAGAAGACAAGGAAAGGTAGCTTTAAAGGCAGATATGGTATCACATAATACAAAATATATGCATCAAATATCCTAAAACAACACAACAAAAAATAACACTTCTTTTATGTAAGAATTTGTATATCTATCACCAAATATAAAGACCACATTAACAGGAGGAATCATTGAGACTCGGAGCCTAGGTGTCTTTGTGTCATAAAATTTCTAAACCTTTCAACATGTACCATACTATCACTTGTGTCCAGCTAGTTTCTTATAAATGAATATTCTTACATTATTTCCCAGTTCTGTACATGCTTTAAAATGACCAACGAAGACCTGTAAATGGCTTTGATTTTACTGTTTTGTACTGTTGCTGTTGATTGTAGTCTATCCAGAAATATATTATTTAGTTTCCTCAAACAAAAAACGTACAAATTATATCGTGTACACACATACACAATGAATTCACATTGAACACATAGCAAATGTAAAGTGAGGTCAGAAAACATCTACCAGCAAGCAAATAAGTAATAAAACAAGAAAGTTTGGTTTAACAGATACGCTGTTCATCTATCCTCAATACATAAATTATACGCTCAAGAATGATGTGTCCTGTGCAAAACAGAAACATGTCAATTTCAGCCCAAGGGGCATTTTTCTCTAGGTTTATAACCCCTTGAAAATAGAGGTTTCATCTAGAAAATCTAACAGATCCTCAGCTGCTTTCGACATCATAATATATTCATAAGGCAAGTATTCACTGCCAAACATGTAACAAATTGAATGGTATGAGGGTGGGGTGAAATTCATAGCTATGAGAATGGGCCAATCCAACCATGAGACACAGGTAAAAGTGAAAAAGAAAATAGAATGTATGACTCAAATAGCCAGGTGTCATGCCTCACACCTGTAATCCCAGCACTGTGGAGGCTGAGGCAGGAGAACTGCCACAAAGGAGAAGCCAGACTAGTCTATGAAAGTGAGTTCCAGGCCAACCTGGTCTAGAATGTCTAAATAAATAAATAAATAAATAAATAAATAAATAAATAAATAAATACTCTTTGATTAATTAAACAAAACAAATTATTAGAAGACAGGCACTGTGGGTAGTTTCTCAGCTGGTACTGAAAAAAATGTGTGGGTACATTTGTTTGTTGCATAAGAAGCAAGAATGCGAACCTATCTCACTGCAGTGTACTATAAGGGTCAGTGTACTCTCAGGGTCATAACTGAACAGAAACATATCTTGTACACAGAGAAGAAATATGACATACCATCATAGTAGACAATGGCTCCTACCAGCTTGTCCTTCTGGAGCATGGGGAAATGCTCGAGGGCTCTGGATTTGCTGAGGACATAACTGCTCTTCAGGCAATTACTTCCTGCAACCAGATCATACAGCTTGATTCCCACCCAGTAATAAGGTAACTGCCACCACCTATAGCACAAGCAAGGAGAAAGGGTTTTTTTTTTTTAGAAACATAGTATAACATTATGGAATGTCACCTTAAATTTCATGAAAAGCCATTTGAGAAAAGCAAAGTTATACCTAGAAGCGGTGGGCTGGGGGGGGGGGGGGGGAGGGGGAACAAGCCTGCACAGCTGCTTGTGACACTGGCTTAGCTGCCATACAAAGAGAACAAACGAGAGTTCATGATCATCTCCATGGCTGGTCCCTACTGCATCTTAGAATTCTTCGGGATGCATTCAAAATAAATAGCCGTGCCTGGTAGTCACAGGTCTAATGATGGATTCAACCAATGTAGGTTGGAGGTCTTGGTAAATGTGAACTACACCAGGTTTAAGAAGCCCTCAGCAATCTGTAACTACACATTGACTAGATGATCAAATCCGTTTCAAGCCCTTCGCCACCTGTGTCTAAAGAATTACATAACCCACCCTTTCGTATTAGTGGGCCTGTCTCCCACTTAGAGCAACTTCACACATGGTTCTAACATTAGGAAAATTCACACCTCCCAGATGAATGTCATCTAAGCTAACTTGGACAATAAAAATGACCCAATATAGCTAGCTGGGTTTTGGGTTGCTACACAGTAGTTTCAGAGTTTGCATCAGAATAATGGGGGGGGGAGCTCTCTACATTTTACACTGGGCATGATCTCATTTGAATGCCTCAGAGTAAATACAGCTGTTCACCTATGTTCTCTGAAAAAATGGAATAAGAGTCCATTAATTATAAAGAGAACTCAACCTTCTTTGCCTTCAAAATCTGGTCCTTAAACATATGTCCACAGAGAATATTTAAGAAAACCTATATTTTTAAATACTAAAGTATTTGCAAGACCAATTAAAACCACATTAAGAAATACACAGGAAAGGGCTGCTTCCATGAGAGCTGTGTTGTCCTGTTGACCTCAGACAAGCACATAGCCTACAGGTGATAGCAAAGGCTTACTTGTAAATTGGAAGCATTATAGGCAACGGAGCTGATAAATGGGGAGCGATTTCTAGTAAGTTGGCACGTTCGTGGAGGGCTTCTTTCACCATCCTATACTGAAAATCAAAACAGAGAAAATTAGTTTGGCAGTAACAGATCATAATATTTTCAAATGGCAAATAGACACCCTGCCAACTGATTGATATACAGAAACCTTCCACCTCTGAGCGAGGAGAGCTCCCTCCTAATCAAATCTCTAATAATACATCATGCTGTCAACCTCAAAGATTTTTTAGAAACCTTAACTGTATTTGCATAGGAGAAAAACATGCTGTCAGAGTTCCCAGGTGTAAGATATTTTCCTGACTTGAGTTACAAGATTATTGTAACCATTTATCTTGTTTTCTCTGGATGGTCCCCTTTCTCAGTTCCCCAGAATGTTTCTCCGGGTAAGAAATAACAGATTGCTCGAATTCATGGAAAGTTCTCTTGCTTTCCCTAAACGCAGCAAAGATGATATGCAGCCCTGGACAGCTATTTTACAGATGGCAAAGAAGGCTTTGTCTTCACTTCTGTGGCCCTCATTATGCCTGGCTAAAGAGCTAGCAATATTATTAGATGAATTTTACACATGACAATAAGGCTGTAGATGTTGACAAACATCTACACATGACAATAAGGCTGTAGATGTTGACAAAATAAGCCAGAGCACATCTGAAACCAGTGGATCATGAATCCTGGGCTGATTTCTTTGCATCCATCACAGATGCTTAAGAGAGACATAAGAAAAGGGGACAGATTCAAAGCCGACTTGTCAAGGCAAGAAAGGGGGCCAGACTCAAAACTTGACAATGGCAAGTCCTTGCTGCTGTGTTTTCCTTGTATGAAAAGCAGATATGGAGGGAAGCTGATTTTTTTCACCCCTCTGGGAAATGTCATTTTCCACACTGCCTTGGCAGTTTTCAAATGATGGCAGACTGGACACAATAAAGTGTGACACATGGAAAGCGTGACTCAGATCATTTTTTTTTCCTGAAGAATATGTCAGTGACAATATGAGTGCATGATTGCAGCTGCAGTTAAGAGATCAATTTGGCACTCCAGTCTGCATTACAACACAGCTCCCCTGAAACTGCTCAAAAGTAGCAATTTGGTGGCCATTGGCAAAAACCCAATCACAATTGTTAAAAGGAACACATCCAAAAGTGACTCTGTAAATCTGCTACTCTGACATGCTTGTACAGAAAAAAAGCCCCTGATCACCCATAAACATAATGCTACACAGAGCAAACTGGTGCACCTCTCCGAAAAGATACTCTAGCAGTGTGCACTAAGCAGGTATCTTGAACAGGAAGCAATGTTTATAAAGCCATTAAAAAAAAAGCCTGATTTAATTGGGTAGAAAAAGCATAGTGGCAATTTTTGTTTAACAGCCAGCACACACAATTACCTGCTCAACATCCAACTTCATGATAGCCTTCTGGAGATATCGCACACCACCATGGATCAATTTAGTACTTCTGCTGCTGGTCCCCGATGAGAAGTCATCTCTCTCTACAAGGGCTGTTTTTAGTCCTGTGTAACCAGAAAACCAAATTAACTTCTTAAATTACACAATTTGTATGTAATTCATTAAAGGCACTTCTCCAGGGTAGAGACAATCACTGGAAAAATTAGTCTGAACATGGATAAATTTGTATTCAAAGTGCAGTACACTGTCTATATTATAATGAAGAGATTTTAGACTCTTCCTGAGGGAAAAGTCAAGCCAGAACTAGAAGCATATTAAACTGTGAATGAATCACACCTAGAAAACATTACAGTACAATTTCGTGGCAGCGAGATTCTCTGGTGTATTTAGGGGACCAAAGGGGGGCCTGGTGCCATCTTTTCCCACATGGCATTTAGTGGGTGTTCTCCCACAGCCTTCAGCATGCCCTTCCTACTGAATGCGGAATTGCTTCACCCCTGCACTCTGTGCTATTGTAATGCATTCACCAACCAAACTGACCCAAGATTCCTTCTACGAGCTGGCTCCTACTTGCAAATGTGCCTGAGGTGGTGATATAGCAGATATGGAATAGGGGACCCAGGCAGATGGAGATTTCTACCCAATAAAGCAAGGGGATATGGGCTGGGGAAGTGGTTCAAATGTGCAAGCAGGAGGACCTGAGTTCAATCACCAGAATGTACAAAAATATGTACAAGGTACATATCTGTAATCCAGCACAGAGGCAGGAGAATCCCTAGAAACTCACAAGCCAGACAGCCTGCTGTATGCAGTGCTAAGCAACAAAAGAGACCCTGCCTGAAAGAAGATTGTCCCCTGACTCCACGCACATGAACATGAACACACACACACACACACACACACACACACACACACACACACACACACACACAAATACAAAGACTTAAAATCAAAGGACTTCTACTGGTGAGTTTACAGTACAATTCAAAAGATTTGCTTATGATATACTACTTCAGGATTAAAACGAAATACAAGCTAAAACAAAGGAACCGGTGCAGAGTATACATGGAAAAAGGGAACATTCCTCTTGGGGATGAAGAAATGACTCACTAGTTAGAAGCACTTCCTACTTTTGCAGAGGACTTGAATTCCATTCCCAGCACCCTAGGTGGCTCACAACTGCCTGTAGCTCCAACTTCTTGGAATATAATGTCCTCTTCTGGCCTCAGCAGGAACACAGGTGCATGCACGCACACGTGCACACGTGCGCGCGCACACACACACATATAAATTATTAAAAGAAAATACTCGGTTGTTTCATCCAGGGCAGGGCCTAGACCCACCCACCCCCAAGAGTCCAGGGTGAGAGTGACTCTCTCATTGTTGGATGGGAGTCCAAAGTCCATTTGTATACTTGGGATAAATACTGATCTACTACCCAAGGCTCAATAGATTACCTAGGCCTCCTCACTGACACCCACATTCAGGGGGTCTTGATCAGTCCCATGCTGAATATGGACACCCCCATGGAGGGCCTCATCCTCCCTGGGGAAATAAGGGGATATTGGAGGGGTTGGTGGGAGGGCATGGGAGGAGGGGAGGGAAGGGAGAGGGACCTGGAATTGACATGTGAAGCAACCTAGTTTCTAATTTAAATTTAAAAAAATAATTTAGAAAAAGATAATTCTCTTGCTAGGATAAGGCTGAACAAAGATGGGTACATTCTAAAAGTCATCCCATCCCCTTTATCTGAAGATCTCTTAGGGGTAAAAATCTACTTCTGATTCCTTTTCTTTTCTTGCAGAGACACCCCTGCCTTTTCAAGACTGCAAATGACACCCAATGCTACAAGTTAATATCAGACACTAGGTGAGTTCTTAAAATTCACAATACATATGGACACCAGTGGGAATGCCTGAGGACTGGTTACTCCCTTAGGCAATGGGCAATGTCATAAAATCCAATTACAGTGATAATATGAGGCAGAAGCAATTTGGATCTGCAAAGCTAGGACAGGAGAAAGTGCGTGTATCTGTTTCAAAAGCCATTTAGTATCAAAAGGTTGCTTTTAAAACATCTAACAGTTTAAAATTTGAACAGAAATGCCATCACAAAACCAGAAAAATTTCCTTGACCTAAAAGGAGAAAATATTTGGGAACAATGAAGAGTGGAAAATAGAGATTTTTTTCAGCCAAGCTGTGGTGGTACATGCTTTTAATCCCGGCACTCAAGAGTCAGAGGCAGGCAGATCTCTTGAGTTTGAGTTTAAGACCAGCCTGTTCTACAGAGCAAGTTCTAGGACAGGCAGGGCTACAAAAAAAAAAATATCCTGGAGAGAGAAAGGAGGAGGGAGGGGGAAGAGAGCGGGGGACTTTTGATTCAAGATTATTGTCCTAACTAGTAAAAACAACTGAAATTATAAGCACTTTGGATTCACATCACCATTCTTAGGGATATACGTCAGAAAAAGTTCTGCAATACTCTAAATTATTAAAACATTACTCATACTTAATTTATTCTGGGTGTGCTACAGACAGAGAAAGATAGCGAGGCAGTGCATATTTTAAAAAGTATTGGAAGTCCAAGTACAGACACTGGGTATGAGTGGGGCACAGGCCAGCTGTCAAGTGACTCTGCACAGGCAAACAAATGGAGAGCTCCAGAGGCTCATCATGGTCTTCTTCAGAGACCACAGGCAAACAAATGGAGAGCTCCAGAGGCTCATCATGGTCTTCTTCAGAGACCACAGGGCTTCCATCTCACTCCAGATTCGAACCCGAACTAAGGGCAAGAACCCAGAACTGCATCTACTAAGATCACATTCCCCAACCTCTTCTGCACACACTCTACCTCCTCCACTCGGTAAGTCCGACAGAGTTCTTTTGGTATTCTAAATCAGTCCATTTTTTTCTTCGGTTGAAGAGCAGACGAGGGAGTTGACTTTCAGATGGTATTTAGGAGCCACATTATTTAAAATGTGCCTCTCTTTAAACCCTAGCATCACAGTTGTTGCATCAGGAAAGTGAGACTGGGGGAACAGGAAGAGGGTATCCAACCTCTGCTTTCTGTTCCGGCAGCCCAGAGTGCCCTCCAGACCATGATCTCAGACCTGTGTGCAGCCCCTCTCCGGAGCAATAGAGCACAGCAACCTTGAAGGTGTTCGAATGAGTCACAAACAAAACAGTAGACACTTAGAGCCACACACCCAGCAGAGGCTAGCTGCGACCCCTGACCTTCCCAAAAGACATGATATGGCCATTCTTGTTTAAGGCACTAAAATCTGTGAAGGGATTCACTGGAAACAAAAATTCCTGTCTGAGGAATAGTGATGTCCATCTTAGGTTTTTTTTCCCCCTTCCTATTTTACTTGTTTTATTTTGTGTGTGCGTGTGTGTGTTTGTCCCTGAGTGTATGTATGCGCACCACATGAGTTCAGTACCAAAAGAAGTCAGAAGAGAGAGCTGATCCCTTGGAGTTACGCATGGCTTTGAGCCACCTTCCGGGTGCCAGGAACTAAACTTGAGCAGTAAACATTCCTTACTGCTGAGCCAGCTCTGCAGAACCCCAGTTTAGTTTTTAATTACTTCTGTACAGGCAGCTTTCGGCAAAGCCTTGCTCAAGACGGGTGAGTGGAAGAGGGGACCTATTGTCGGCAGAAGCCAGCTTAAAGCGGCCAGCTGAACATCACCTGTAGTTCCAGCCCTGGACCTTGACCAGGGAGAACTATGAGTTCTCCACTAGCCTGAGAAGTATAGCGAAACCACAGAAGAGGAGAGGGAATGATGAGAAGGAGGAAGTGTGTGTATGTGGGGGGATGACTGGCAAATGTTTGGAAGTGCCTCGTCACGGGCAGTTTGTTACCAGGGACTGGAGAGGAGGCTTGTTGGCCACAACAGCAATTACTGGATGTCCTCAAAAGTAAAATGCCTCTGAGAAGACATCTACATGTCTAAGGCCAACCTTAACACACATCATTAAAGCAATATGCATCAGGGCCTACACACTATACGCTATTCAATTCTGGACATCCACTTCCAAGAACCAGGGCTTGTTTGAATTTTTTTTTATCAAATTTAATTTTTTCTTCACAAGTTCTCAGAGATTGTTTGGGGAAGTACTATTTTGATATCTGTCAAGGGAACCCGACTGATTAGGGTTCTAGGAAGATGTCTTCAGGTGAAGGGTAGGAATGGGGATGGAGAGTTGCTGATAACAGACCCTAAGCTCACAATGTAGCCAAGACAATCAGGAAGCCTACCTCAGGAGGCAGCTCTAGCAAGAGTGGGTCTCTGTGACACTGCTGATTTTGTGAGCTGTTCTGGGACTTAGCAAATCACCTCAGGCCAATATCCCAGGATACTTAATGTATCCTTTATGTGCCTGCCTTTTCCTGTAGTGGGTATTTTTAGAAGTTATTTATATGTATTTACACGAGAAACCACAATGAGTAACAATGAAATTTAAAACAACCCTCTCAGTCACACCAAGGCCTCTTATGTTGTTGCTGTCCTACTACCTTGTCAAACTACCAAGCCACCCACCAGAATTTCTGAGAAATGAGATTCCTTTTCTCAAAGCAAACAAGAAACGTAGTCTCCCAAAAGACTGTCAAATTGGTGTGTTAAATCACCATGTAACCTAAAAGTTGCTTAAACTACAAAAGAAAGAACAACTAAAAAAAATCAGAATCTTCACATTGTCAACTGCTCCCGTCCATCAAGCGTTCCGAAGCTCTCCATTTTGCTGGATGGGAAGGAGAAACTAACACAAAGTCAAAGCATGATCAGATGTCTCAGCTGGTTCTAGACTTCATTCTTTGGTTACGTAACTAAAATTGTGAGGCTTTAGGTGTTTATGGTATGTGTGGAGGGGGTGGTGGTTTGGGGGTGTAAGACCTCACAATCATCTCAGGCTCCCCTGAAACTCATTGTGGAGGCCACTGCGTATCTGTCCGGAAACAGGGCTGGGATTACAAGTTTGCATCACTGGATTCAGATTGTTTTGTTTATTTTCTGTTTTTTTTTTTCTTAGTCTAATGTTTCTCCCCTCCAAGATGGATGGTTTTAAATGAAAAGCTTTCCTTCCTAATTTAAGGACAAGGAA